ACATGGTTTTCTATCGTAACAGTTAAAAAAAGACTCTGAAATGGGGCCATAAGCAGATCTACGCTTTCTCCCACAATGAGAAATTCTGCAGTGCTGCTTGTACTAAGTTGACTAGTGAAAGAGCAGTGTGCATTAAGACGGCTAGCGTTAGCATTAGAGGACACATCGGAGAGATTCAGCCATACATGTTTCAGCCTCAGTCAGACACAGACTCTGATGAGGAATCTGTTGCGCACCAAACTCAGCAAGAGCACATGTATCAGCACGGTTAGTCGCAGTTAGCATCTTTAATTTGGTTATGGTGTTTGTTAGCTTGTTAGCTCATGACTGGCAGTGACTGACACCACGTTAGTAGTTGCGAAACATACAATCACTTCTGCTATGATGGGGTTTTTGGTGGAAGAAAGCTCAAGGTTTACACCCAAAAACTGTACACTCTACCATGCTACTACTAAATCTGCTCTCTGCTCTGCCAAGTTCATTGTGCGAATGTGCGCTGGAGGTCTCAGGTGTCTTAGCCGGTGTTGTGTCAAAGTCTGTTTCCCCGTCAGTATGTGTTTCCCATGGTAGACAGCGATTGACTTTAGTATTGATGATGTACCAAATTCAGCTTGCCTGGTCTATGTTTGAATCTCAGATTTTAGGTAAGTGCACAGACATCGCCCCCCTTTAGTAGAGGAATGTAAAACCCCTCTCTAGTGATGAACGTTGCACAGATACAAGTCACATTTTAGTGGACATAACAAAGCTAACAAAGACCCAACTGATGTTTCTGTAAGCTTTGATTAAATGTAATTTCTTTTTTTTTTTTTTTTCATCTCTAAGGATTGTCTGGCTTTGATAAGGTTGTGAAATGTTTTTAACTACACAAGATTTTAAATCATTTAATCAAGATGCTTATCTTGTTTCTTAGCCACAGCTGGCTGAAGCAAAAGTTGTGGGAGTTAAAGAAATTGAAGAAAGACTCCCAAAATACACACAAAGAGTTTTTGTTTCAGGAGGCACAGATAAAGCACCCTCTTCTACCCCCTTTCACCTCTTTTGGCAATTCAAAGGTATGCATTAATATACAACAGCAAAGAGAACCTGTTTTCAATATGTCGAGGTTTACAGCCTAATATCAATGTTCTGATGTTTAAATCTCTTTTGGTACAGCAAAGCACAGCAAAACAAATGCTAGTAGAAAATCTTAAGTCAAAACTGCTCCAAAAATAAAAAAAGGATAGGAAGTGGAACAAATGAGCAAATGTTCAAATCACACAGGAATTGCGAGTCAAGGCAAAACACCTCCTTAAAACATTCTCTAAAGATTTATTTAACCAAGAACAACACAAGAAAATAAAAAAAAGAAGTACTTGTTACTGAATCAGGACAGATGCTCTCTTTTCCTAATTTCAGTCAGCTGTTCATTTGGAGGTTTCTTTTGATAGAAATGAAATGATAGTAAAACATACACATAACAGTTTTTATGTCAGATATATTAAATATATTGAACTCCTGATGGTGTCTCATCCTCTCACAGTATGAGGTTTCCTGCTGGCGGCTAAGAGAGTTTGGAAAAACAGATCCATAATTAGATTGTCTGTCTTCTCATTCTAACAAGGCAGATGTGGCAGTCGAACAGTTGTGTGTGCTGAAGGAGGCAACACATTGGGCTAATTTATGCATCTCAGAGTAGGGTGAGACCTGCTAGACGGCAAGCTGGGGAAATCTCCCACCACAGGTGGGTTTTCATCACCCAGTCTCTTTCATTCTCATCCCCTGAACTTCCCCATTCACCTACAGAACTAACACAGCTTCCAATTAAGAGTGTGGGAGCGTGTCGACACGGGATATTGCCTTTGATGCAAACACATGCTCATTCACGTGTGCTGTGTCTACGCTGAGTTCGTCAGTCTTTACACCCCATCTGTGTTTTGAATGTCGATTCAAGGAGATATTGAAATCTGGATGTGACGGGTCAAACACAGGCAACATCGACTGAATACTCAAACAGAAGTGGAGCTTAATGATTTGCATCTGTGTGTTTCTCTGTGCTTTTTTATCTCCTTTTCTAGAGCACCGTGTATCTTCTGTTTTCAACAAAATAAAATCCACTCTTGTTTTCTAGATTCTACAAAGCCTCTACTCACATGGTTTCCTGTTTCTTCCCTGCTCTCTACTGACTAAGCCCTTACTGAGAAGGTAGAGGCAAACAGAGTAGGGATACGTATTGATCAGTAAAACGGTGGAGTGGACTGCCGGTTTGTTATGTCACTGATGGCTAATGCATACCTGTTTAGTGGAGATGGATTTAAGTGTCTGACTGCGACTCACCCTCCTGTCCAGATGCAACTGACTGGAAATAAACACTGACAGGATGGAAATGGAGTTCCTCCCTCTCACTTGCTGTGCGGAGGATTTTTCTCATTAGGCTCCTCAAAATCCCTCAGACTCTCCTCGTCAACACTGACTGTACGGGGCAATTAAATCCAGCACCCCAACAATAAGCCCTAGATTAGCAGAGGACTGCAGTTAAACTGTCACTAGGTGTGTAAATATATGGTGCGAAAAAGATCATGAGTGCAAAATAAGCCTTGACAGGTACAATGTACATTAAATATCCCAGTATTTCACTGGCCAAGCAGAGGCCTTTGAAGCTGTGCACACGGTGATATACCGAGGACTTGTTTATGCATTCTTTTCATGTATTATAGCCAAGGAGAATTAAAATTTTAAAGACTAGAAATAATCACAGTCTTTGTGAAAGGAAAAATTTGTTTTCCCCAACTCTTAGGATAGCTCTTAACATTTTTAAAACTGACTAAGTTATATTAGTTGGACTAGAACAGTGGTTCCCAACTGGTCCAGTCATGGGGTCCAGATTATTCCTTAGTCATTAGTTCAAGGTCCACACAGCTTAACATATTCAGCGTCATACTTGCATTTGAACATGTCATTGAGCTAGTTTGCTGTCTCTGTCAAGTAGCTGTCTGTTAGTCACTCACTCTACAGCAGGAAACGGCAATTAAAAATAAAAGCTCTGTGCCGGAAATTCACTGGACTTACTTGATACATTGGCAAGTCACTTGAGGTCCATTCAGAATGGGCCCACGACCCACTTTTGGACCATGACCCATCAGTTGGGAACCACTGGACTAGAAAAAAGGAACCTAAGCCCAAAGAAGGTGCATTAGGGACTTGACATTTTACTGAGTAATATGGCCATGATCACGAAAAGAAGAAAATCAAAATCCACGTGTGTATCACACTGCTGAGCATCAAAAATTGTGTGTAATCAAAACAAGGACGTCCCACTGACACCTACAGTATTTTGCATATGGACTGAATTCGATCAACTCAGAGGAAGTGTGGTTTTGATAAAATTACAAACAACATGAAAACAAAGACTAGAAAGAAGTTGACCAAGCTACATGTTGACTCCTCTTGACCCAAGGAATTAAACTGCATTGGCAAAAATGAAGCTTAGTGTGAATAAAATAGTAAGATGGACTTAAAAGTCGGAAACAGAGTTTAAAATCTGACAAGTGTGGATGTTGTATTGACCCTAAAATGTGTCCATGCTACGTTTGCATACATGTGTTGAATTGACATCTTGTGGTGTGGCAGTTATTTGTAACAACTGACTCATCACTTCTGAAGAAAGAAGCCTGTAAGACATTAATCAATATTTATTATGAGTGGTGGAGTGCTGCTGGAGAGCACCGGAATGATGCTCCACAACTTCTTCTCTCCAAGCGAGGAAAGACAATATTCACAGTTCACATAAACTAGTCGAAGTTCATATACATTTATGAAAAAGATGCACTAAACAGAATCGTCGGTTACTGTTTGTAAAGACGTTTGCCAGTGAAAGTTAAAGTAAAAGCCAACCCCAGATTCACTCTCATTTGGTGTTTTGCCTCACTATATTTGACGTTTTTTTGGCGCTGTATCTCATGGATGCCTTCTGTTTACGGTCTGGCACCTGGTTGCTACCTTTTTATAAAGCCCCGACCTCACCTGAGCACTGTGGAGGTACACTGCGATAAACCTCCCGAACACAGAAAAAAAGAAGAAAATGCAGGCAGAGGGCAGAAAAATACATTGCCACACACTTCCAGTGGGTCATCAGTGATGACTGAGAGGGATTACTTCTGTCTATATACATTGTTTTGTTTTGTTTTTATCAAAAATCCTGCATAGTATGCCTTTAAGCACTTGAAGATCCAAACATTGCTGAAGCATATGTCATACAAGAGACACTATAAAACAAATGGAATGGTCTAAGTTCAAAATCACACTGACGTTTAGTTGTGTTGACTGATTCAGGACGTCAACTCATGCATTAACTGACATGCAATAAAACATTCCACATTAAAAGTTGCCAGTAGCTGCCAGTGGTGGCCTTTGTCTATAGCTGCTCACTGTTAACTAGTACAGATGGAAAGGCAGCATAACATCCTTTCTTTTTATACTTACAGTAGACTAATGTATCTAAACTTGCCTCCATATGAAGAGTGGTTACATAACCTTTAAAAAAGCCACAACTTAATCGTTATAGGTGCTCTCTGGTACTTAAACAAATAGCTCTACAGCCTTGTTTATTATGTTCTGCAACTGTGACACATGCTCTGTTTGACTGAAATGGTTGTTATGTAGGAGTTTAAGCTTGTGTAACAGTTGTGCTCATGACAATTATCCTTGATAAAAGCATCCACTGAAGGCTTAAAATCTAAAAGTAGAGTTTAAATCCACTGCCAGGAGTCCTATCTCTTTCCCCTCTTCTGTAACCAACAGTAACAGGAGATGTTTCATGGACAAATTGTATGATTTAATCAAGTTTATCATGATTGGTGCCAGCGTTTCCACAACCACAGGGGTGCCATACCATGTGATATCCCCTTAACTGCATGTGTGTGGTGTGTATAAAGAGCAGTAAGCGGGAGCTACATTTTACAGCCATTTTTTTCTGAGAATTCTGTGAATTGGCAAAAGATAAATTAAAGAGAGAGACCGACCTGGTGGAGATCATTTCCCAAGGGGAATTCCTGGAAATACCCAGGGGCTGCTGATGTGGCCCGGATGGCCTGCCAGAGCTGGTGCTGGCAGCCCCCCAGGTAGTGAGAGCGCACCCCGGGCAGCAGGTTGTAGTTCCTGAACACATAGGCCTTCAGAGGAGTGCCCCTGTTCACAATGGTGCTCACCGCTGCCACCTGCAGAGAAAGGAAATGACATACAGCTCAATTTCCTTTTCCAGCATGAGGCAGCACTTTACAGATATAAAAATGCAAACATAATACTGTATCTGGAGTGACATTCTGACAGATCAATTTAATAACGTCTCTGTTCTGGGAGCCTAACAGGAGTCAGCTGACATATGAAATTCTGTATACTGCTTTATCCACACTGTCTTATGTGGCTTTAGAGTGTACTTTCCTTCTACTTGTCATTGCAGAGGAGTGCAGGACAGAGATAGCGAAGGAGAAAGGAGCTTTCTTTGTAGTATCCCAGTAAACAAGGTGAGACCAAGGCTCACTGGTCAGTGCCAGAACAGAACAAGAGGGAAGAATGAGTCAGACAAGCTTCCAAAGCTCACCTTGGGGCATTCAGGGTTTCTTGATGTCTCCACCAGGAGGTGAGAGCCCATTTTCTCTCTGTAGAAGGGAAGATATGGCGATGTTATTTTCTGGCTTAGTGAATTTTGGATAGTAGTGTGACTTACTACAGATTCTGCAAGCTTCACAAAATCCTTGTGCATATCAGTTAATGGAACTTGAAATCATTCTGTGATCGGCATAATTATTCTCAAAGGACCGTTTTACTGTTTTAAACATTTAAGGCCATTTAAAACAATATATGTTTACTTTATATGACCGTGCTGATCATATCTAAGCATGCAGTGGTGGATTTTATTCTTTAATTCTTAATATCTTTAGAATTTTTCCAACCAGCCGCAGTTTTACAGTTGCTATCTCTGGGATTATGGGTTTGGTCGTGTGTCTGCTTATCTAATGCTAATCTGGCATACTGCTGGACCCATAACCCTTATACGTGGACATTTATGAGTGTTTGCTCAAGGACCTCTCATGGTTGTGGCAATTCACCTCCAAAGTCACGTAGCAAAAGGCATTTCCAGCAATCAACAAGCCTCACTTTGTCTGTCACAGGCAACATTTTGGCCTTTGTTGAGGCTCAAAAACTGACAACCATAGAAAAGTTTGGTCTCAGCTGCAGCATCTGCAGATTGATTCCCGCTATGTGATGATCCACTATAGTGAGGCACAACAGGAGATGAATAAATCACTGTTTTTAATAATGCAACCTGCACATTGTCTCCCTTTCATTGGGATGTATTATATATGAATGCACCCATCTAGTGTTTGCATGCTCTGGACTCTGAGTATCATGGTGCATTGAGATTTATCACCAACTGTAAGCAGCTAACTCATCACTGTATCCTGTATGCTCAGGTTGGGTGGCTCTCTTTACAGTTTTGTACACTTTTTTCATTGGCATTCTGTTGTTTACAAAGCTATTCTTGGCCTTCTTCCAGCACATTTATGTGTGTGTTATGTGTGTAAATAGAAAATGGCTATGCTCTCCGTTCTCAGAACATTTTTTTTACTGATTACACCAAGGGTACGCACAGAGTTTGGCAAACAAGCATTTATGTATGGACCTTCTTATGAGTGGAATCTTCTGCAGAAGAACTTGAAGTTTCACTCTTTGGTTTGTCTCGGCTGTTTCAAAGCACTGTTGCAGGATTTTTGTACGCAATCTTCGGTACGCCAATGTCAGGGTGTATCTTAGCAGGTCTTTGTAATCATCTGTAGTTGCCCTTTTTTTGTGTTTTTATGGTTGACCTCTAGTATACATTAACATACTCTCTGGCTTGTCTTTGTGGTAATCTCATTAGGTGTTTTATGTTGCTTGTTTTAAAGCTGTACATTTTTGTTTTGTTCTGTGTTGTCTGTCTGTAACTTTATGTTGCTGCCTGTTTTGGGCAGGAGACTCTTGAAAAAGAGATTTCTAAACTCAAGAGGTTTTACTGGTTAAATAAATAAAATAAAATAAATTATTCCACGACTGTCATGCATGCACAATGGACCTGTTGGAGACCTGCACTCTACTGAGTTCACTTTTCTAGTTTCCATATGTTATAATAAATAACTTTCAATATCATGTGACACTTAAAATTTGCTTAAGTTAGTCATGCATCACAGTAAACATCATATCACTCCTTTGAGAATGCAACAAGGTTATCTTAGTGATAATCCAGCAAACAGGTCATGTACAACTTGTTGTTGTTACCCTAAAACAGATTATTGATAGATGGCATTGATGCACTTTAAACTGTATTAACATAACTGACAACAATAAAGAGCAAGCTTGATATTCACTTTGATGAACTTGCTTTAAGCACTTCCAAATCACTTTGTGTTAACTTGAACAGTTTGACCACTGTCATGGCATTTTGTTTTACATGTCTCCAAATTAACTAAGCATAAGCACTGCTCTGGACAAGGACAAAGGGACTGACTTGAGGATGTTCTCCCAGGCTTCGCTGTCATAGAAAGCGTGGTTCCAGCCCATCTTCACAGTGCCGACAATGACGTTTTGCTTGAAGACATCTGAACCCAGCTTCCGGTAAAGATCATCACACTCGTTCAGTGGGATTTGGAACACACCTAGCATGAACCCTAAGATAGCACCTGAGGCAAAAACACACACAATCATTCAAAGAGGAAAGGACTGGTGAATGAACAATACAGCTGCATACTTGTGTAAACAGGAAGAATAAGAGCTTCAGTCAGTCCTTTGGGAATGCAATGAGGTAATCTTGGTAATAAACAGGCACACAGGTAATGCACAGCTTGTTGTTAGTGCTCTCAAGGCCTGGAGTTGATGCAATGTTAATTGCCTAAAGGATTATCTGTTATTAGTAACATTACCCCTGGATGATCCACCCATAGGAAGTGCATGAGATTAACATAGCTACTACACTACAGGCAGCTACTTTCTCTCCATGATTAAAGATCCCTGACAAGATTACCAAACCTCAACAGTGCCATGAGGGCAGAGATGGGGTGTACCTGAATAATGTGGGTGACCAAACTCACCAGATGTGGCCCAGATGGGTTTTAAATGTGTGAACATCATTTGATTGAGCAGGCGGATTACATTATGCTTTGACAACATTGACAGAATGTGAAAATGAAGTACCTCCAACTGGTGGAGATTAGGACCAGAGAACTGTTAGGAACTGGGAGCAAACAGAAACTTCTGGCAGTGATTAAAGGACAATGTGCTCTGCAAATAAAACGCAGTTTTTCAATCTGCTGCGAAATGAAAACCACCGAGTGGCAGACAGAGAGGACAGTTTGAGGATGATGGTCCACAGCACCACCTTGTGGTCATTTTGCATACAGGGAGAAGTTCTAATTGACCTACTGATTATTCCTGAAACCAAATAAAGCAATGCAATTTCAACACAAATATAACTTAATTTTTTGTGCGTTATACTCTCGGGTAGCATGATCTAAAAATGTGTACTGATGACAGAGCCTACAGGTGGCCAGCTGTAGGCTCTGTCATCAGTACACATTTATAGATAAAGCAATTCTCGGACTGCTACCATATTATCTGTGTGTCTATCTCACACAGAAAAGTGCCAGGTAATACTATTTGTGTTCTCGGGATGTCTTTATGCTTTCTGTTCCATATGCCTGTTTGGAAATTGGATAAAGGACTTCTGTGTATTCTGCAGAGAGACTTAAAACTCAGTTAAATCATCTTGTTAAATGCTTTTAAATCGAAAATAAAAGAATTAGAGGCAGATTCCGTAAGATATCTGTTTAATTTACGTAGTTAGAAACCTAACTCTTCTACATTTCTACTTTAAAATGTGAGCTGCTTTTGCTTATTTCTTATTTCCTTTTTAATTTGTGTCTTTTTGTGTTATCTTTTTTTAAATTATGTGTTTTTATTTATGCCGTTGCCAGTCTTGGCCAAGTCTCCATAGACGAAGAGATTCTTACACCTCTTCCTAACTGGACAGAATGTGAATGAGCGAGTGATCAAACATCACATTGTTTCCGTGTTTCCCATTGAAGATGTCCTAACCTACTCCTTGCACAGGCTAAGCAACGTGGCGCTTGTTGTTCCAAAAAACGCTCACACTGGCTCTATTTTGGCAAAGCTTTGTGCACCTCCAACTTATTTTCAGAGCAGCAGCAAACTGTTGCTTGGGCTCATTCAGGGCTCCATAAGCTCCCTGAATGTTGCTGTCAATCATAGTATATCTACACACTTTTTTGCGCTTCATTCAACAGAGTTTGCCCGTTTGCTGCATGGTTGGAAGGCGTGTTAATCTCAATTGTACTCTACTGGTTAAATAAATAAAATAAAATTATAAATAGTCCATTTTGTAATTTGAAACAGTTGTACTGTGGCCTTACTTGACTACAAAGCAACAAGACTGGCAATGCGGTGGTGCTGGCAGTGAAATTGAGGTCAAAACAAGAGCAGAGCAACAAATGGGTCAGTGTGTGATCAGTGCTGCCAGTCCCATCCGCAATGTTGCACTCTGCTCACATAATCCAGACGCATACAGCACACACACATTCAGAAGTAGGGCAGGGGGACAACGCACCTGTGCTGACACCACAAATATAATCAAACAGTTTGTAAATAGGTTTCCCGGTCAGGGCCTCCAGCTTGTGTAACGTCTGAAGTGCAACAAGTCCCCTGCAAAGTCAGACACAGGCATACACACACAGAGAGGCAAATTAATGGGATGACAACCACTGCACACAAATTGGCTACAAAGAGTGACAGCTCATTGATTTTAAACTCGAACAGCAAAGACAAATAGGAAATAAATCCTCATTCATTAAAACTGAATGTTTCACAGGATTACATTTACAGATCGAAACTGCTAATAGAAGCAGTGCTATTTTAAAACATGGCCTTGACTGCAGTAAATGCTGTTTAGTTTCACTTTGATCAGTGACTCATACTTTTTAAGAAAGAAAAGAGAAAACATGGGTTGAACTTGTACCTTAACCCTCCTCCATCTATGGACAGGATGCGAACGCCTCGGCCTTTCACAGGTTTGTGGTAGCCCACCAGAGCGAGGGCTTCTCTAACTGCTGCCCTCAGGCCGGGGTCACTGGCCTGTTTCAGACGCAGCAGGCAAGGGATAACCTGCTCCTGATAAACACATAGTGTGGCAGTCAGAAGTGAAAATGAAAAACGTGGTCAGTCCACCATGATGCGGTCACACCAGAATTGGCGAGGCAAATAGGAGGTGGAGCTCGAAATAGAGAGGACAGGGTCTGCTGCTGGAGCGACTGTAGTGTTCAACTAATACATCTGACATCCTGCAGTATTTACCTCCTATCCCTGTATTTGTTCTCAGTACCAGTCATACTCTTTCCTGTTCTGCCGCTTGTTTTCTTCTTTGCAGTCACAAACAAACAAGGGCAGAAGCAATCAATGCTTCCTAAACAAAGAGGTCGATTCTGCTGCCTGTTATATTGGCTGAACATTAACAGGTTTTACCACTTTGCAAGTCATAGTTTCATCAGAATGAAGGTGGGATCATTTGCAATGGAAAATGAATGTAAATCAAATCCTCGCTAGAATGAAAGCAGAGTGTAACACTGGTGTGAACGCAGCTATAAAGTGTTGATTTTACCTGTAATACCTTGCTTGTTGATAAAACATGAGACTGTCATGATGTAATCTGAATTATTTAATTGGAACAAATGTTTCTGAGGAGTTAAGAGACCATATTTGAGACCAAATTCAAGTCAGTATTGTCACCACAGTGGTCTCCTTTATTCCTGTTGTCATTTGCAAAGATATCAAACATTATTCTTGCAGCAATATGTTGAACAGCAATGAAACAGTTGCCAGTTTCATAAAAAACTGTGGTTAAATTCCCTTCAGTTCATATTACTGTTGTAAATTTTAATTATCATAAAACCACGTTTGATTACCGCCCTTCGAAAAACTCACAGTTAACAGTGTCCTGCATCAACCAAAGTTAGCAACAGTCTTCCAGACATAGGCACAGCATGCAATGTGGGTTTGTTTTGCTATTCCCTTGTTTACAGAGTGGGCGTGCAGCAGGCAAACCTACTGTAGAGATGCTACTGGTGCCTTGTCCTCATCAACAGTGACACAGGCACATGAGCAAACACTTCAAAGACAGGCTATTTCAAAGATCGAAGAAAGAAAGAAGATATTTCAATTTTTGTCGCTTTAATCCTGATATGAAATTTTAATACTGTTCATCTTTAATGTTGAGCTTAACACTGTTCTTCACTTTTCATTGAGGATTATCCTTCCTCATACTTGTAAAAGTGCCCTTGGTTTGAAATAGGTTTAGCACTGACTAAGTTCCTGACACCGCCACAGATAAGGCAGAGACATAAATAAATGCCGCAGTATGCAGTCTACATGTTCAATAGTTGCCAAGCTCTGACATTAAACACAGAGCAATATGTAACCTGTTGCCACAGCTGACAAACTGACATTTGCCTGGCATGGGAAAAATTCCTGAACACAAGCAGAGGGACGTTATCTACATTATTTACATGCTACAGCTGTTCAACTATTCATGGTAAATATAACACAATTATGTATGCATAAAAACATGCTGCTGTAAACACAGTCCTGACACCGTGAGCTGGAGCCAAACATAAGAGTTGGTGCTTTTGACATGCTAAGCAGCATCAGACACTTTGCTGACAAAGCCTCGGGATGTTACATTATGGGGGAAAAAGAAGAGGAGAAAATGCTGGCCTTGTCAGATTGCTCACCTTGACTGCAACACCACTAGTCTCCGGAAACTCCAGGAGGTGGTAGCTGAGGTCCTCCACCCTGTTGATGTAGACCCTCACATCTGATGCCCTGTGGAGAGCCTGAACCAGACCCCGAGTTCGATTGTCCACGCTCACCCTGGCAATGATCTAAGAGACAAAAAACGTGCAACCAGTTAGGTCCAGCTATAGAGCGTGGGCTGGAATCCAAGTTAAAACCTGACCCTGTGTACGGCTCATTTAGCAGGGAACTCTCATTTTCATTTACAATATTAAACAGTAACTAATGAATGTTTTTTCATTTCAGTTTCATTCAACTTCCTACACCAGTGGTTCTCAACCTTTTTCATGTCAGGGACCCCTGAATTTATACATATCAGGTCACGGACACCCATCTGATTTTGCTTCAGGGGCCTCCATCTGAAACATTTTGGTTATTAGATATAATTAAACTGACCAGTCAGTTTTACGGTTCACGTTTTTTCGTTAACAGAGAATCAGTGTGTGTGTGTGTGTGTGTGTTATATTTGGATGTAACATTAATCTATAACCATTGCAACAAGATTGCAGCTACAGTAGTTTGGAAAACAGCAATTTGGCATTTACTTTGATGAATTCACTGTTCAGCAGAACGCAAATGAGACAACACAACACGGCTCAGCTCAGCACCAACTCTGCCCTGTGCAGCACTGATTCTTTTTTATTTTTTGAATGGGACTTTTCTACTTTTACTGGAAGTTGTGCGGTCCCCAGTGTCTGGACCTGTTAGAGGCCGGAGCAGGTGGGCAGGGCAAACTTTCAACAAGTCTGGAAACTACATTTCAGACAGTGGATCTTGGTAAAATGCTGACACTAAACTGAAGTGGAAGACACGACCGCACAGAGAGGTATAAATAAGGCTATGACGCTACAATTACTGTAAAATACAAGATATGTTGACTAGCTAGCCTGCTATGTTTATGGTGTTTATGTCAGTGCATCTACACAAGCTTGGAGGATGACGTATGACTTGCAGTTTCTACTTCTGTCATGTGTCATCTTCCCATTTCAGCGACAACCTTCTATTTTTAACCTCTGAGCACAAAATTAACTCATTTGTCTAAAATATCTGGTGAACAATGTGGATAATCAACATTGTCAGGACATGACTAAGAAAAATAAGAAATACAAAAATGCCAAAATACACTGGAGGGGGACTTTAAGACCAGAATTTAAAAGTTGTCAACTACAGTTGAGGATATAACTGATCGGAATAGTCACTCTTATGACTCCTACTCACACTGTGCTCATTTTCACAGTGAATTACATAGTGAAAATAAACTATTTCCCATTTTCTGAGGACCCTCTGTGACTCTTTCAAGGACCCCTGTTTGAGAACCACTGTCCTAAACCAAGATAAGAAGCAATAAGTGAGAAACATTAATACATGGCCTATACACAAAATATATCACTAAACTACACTCCACAATATGACTGGCAATAAGTTGATTACAAACAACGCTTGTTTTGCTTCCATGGGCCAGGTAAGGCAAGGCAAGGCAAGTTAAGGTATTGTAAGGTTACTTCATTTGTACCCGTAGGGAGATTTGGGTTGCAGTAAAAGACGAGGCATCCTTCTTGGCACACATTTACAAACAACACAGACAGCAGGCAGACGTGATAAAAGTACTCAGGCTCGAATATTAACTAAAATTTCTAAATAAATAAGAGCTGCATCAAACTCATCTGAGCAATGTCACGTCTGTAATATTGTGCAAACCCCCAAAATGGACTTTTAAGCTCCACTCAAAGGGGGAACAATCCAATCAAATCATTTGAAATGCTATATGAAATGAATGAATCCACTTTTACGTCTGGAACCTCCCGTCTACAACATGCTTGAAAAGCGCCCTCGTTGAGGACTTGGCTCAGATTCCAGGAGTTACTTTCTTATCCTGAAGCCTCCTCAAGGAATCTGATCCCGTTTGTTTCGGTGGAGGGAAGCTCTTGCGACCGCATGCCTTTGCTGACATCGACCCCAGCAGGATTCGAGCCCTGGACCTTCCGCATGGAAAACAAGTGCTCTAACCACTACACTAAAGAGACCCATTTGAAATGCTATATGAGTGTATATAATATTGTTTTTACAACAGCTATTGCTTGAGTAGCATATTTTTATATTTCAATCAACAAAATCATCTGTCCATCATCTAAAAGAAAATTGGGTAATAATATTTTTTTAATAAAAGGTCTTGAAATTGAGCTTAAAGGTGAACCAGCCCCAAAATCTTTGGAGGGAAATTACTGAGTGATTAAAGTGATTAAATCATGAACAGATAAAGGACAAAGCTGCCACTCAGTGCCTGTCATCATTCAAAAATACCGTCAACAGACTTGTACCTTCGACTAGATTTTGTTGCCTTGATGTTACAAATGTATTGTTTGTCAATTGGATTAAATGTAACAACACCTGGACCATATCATGCCTGTACATGACATCAATCTACTGTGTATCATCAGCCAATGGATGAGTCATGTTTGAGTCATGTAGTGTTTCTGCTATCTGCTGTTTCAAACATAACATATCATAGTTCCTGATTCACTAAACCCAGCCTTGACATTATCTAAATGTCAGTGTGTTTATGTCTCCACAACTTAAAAGCATGGCTTGGCCTATAAAGTACACACCCTCTGTGGCCCTTCTGTGGCCCTCTGACTACACAAGGGAGTTATTTTTGAAAACAGATTCCCACATCTCAGACAGCACGTAGGCACAAGACACTACCCTATAGAGTAGCAAGAGCTCTGGTCAATGTCTGGACAGTAGACACCCAGCTATAATACACCGGACAGAGCTATGTGATGTGAGAATTATGTTTCACTCAATCACTGACACGTTTTTGTACACCTACCTTCTCCCTTTGAAGCAGAAGTTTTTTGGCTTTCTCCTCAGCAGCCTTCTGTTCCTTAGTAACTGTGGCCTCAGCCTGTTTGACCAGGGCGTCCTCAGACTTCTTTTCCTCCACTGTAGCAGTTTTGGACTCTGCTGTCCTGAACTTTGGGACCAAAGGAGCAATGTAGCTTCCTACAAAGGCTTGCACAGTTGGAGCTGAGTAGGACAGGTAGTGTCCCAAGCCCTTCTTCGTGGAAGGTGGGGTGACTGGAGCAGCAGAGACTGTTTTATTAGACACTGGCATGAGGTCACTAGGTTGTTGACCCTGAGAGGAAGCATTGTCAGCACTGTCCACTTTCTTGTCCTGAGTCTTTGTACTGCTGCTAAAGTATGAGTTGATGTGATGAGCCAGGTAGTTGTAGGTCTCATCCAGGCTGACTGAAAAGGTGCTGGGATGGAAAAGTGCTGTGGTTTGTTTGGAAGTTGTGCTCTTGCTTTCAGTATCACTCGGTGAAGATTTAAGTTCCTCCTGTTTCCTGGCAGAATTGGCTCTGATAGTGGGAACGACGCGTCTCAGCTTTTTGTCCTTAAGTTCACGCACAGTCAGAATTGTGGCAGTGACGGATGCTTGAGAAGGACTGTGAGGATAAGTGGAGGTAGTGGCACTTGCATTAAGTGTAGCAGCAGAAGCAGGAACAGAAGGACTCGCAGGAGATGAGTTACATGCAGGTTTGGGTGTTGTAGATGTACAAGGTGGAGCAGCATCGGTGGGAGCAGGAGTGGATGTGACAGCACTCTCCTCAGCCTTTGGCACTGACTCAACACTCGCCTCAGCCTTCTTCCTTCCCTTTAAAGCACTGGGCTTGAGTCTGCCAATTTTAGAGAGAAGTTCTGTATGTGTCCCGCTCACAGCTTTGGAAACTGTGTCCAGTGTTGTTCTGACCCGCGACATGTGTTGGCTCAGACCAGCAGACCACCGTGAGGCTGAAGTGTTCAAATGCAGGGTGCTGGTGTGGAATCCAAGTCGTTGTCTAACCTGGTTTGCTTTACAGAGCCATCCCTTGCGCCCAGTGATCCTCAGGTGGTGAATGTGCCTCCAGCTGAGATAGCCAACCTTGTAGTAGTAAGGCTGTTGTACATAAACCCTGCAGTGAGAGGCACCAGACAAGGGAGGTGATGCTGCTGACTTGTGAGCATGTGTTTGCCACAACTGACACGCTCTGCTTACTTTGACCCAGGTATTTGGAGCCCATTTATGACTCATTCTTTCAGGTCACATCCACAATATTAGATCTAAGCTCTCCCTTCGTCATAAACCTGGTGATAAACAACAAAAAAGTGATGTATGAATGAAAGACGGAAAACATTCAAAAAGAAAATTATGAAAATGACATGACATGTGGAGTAACACTACCAACACTGCTCCTAAAACTCGCTTCAATTAATTATTCTGCTCTCTGCACAAGTAAAAGATATTCGGTAAATGTTCCTAATTCAGAGGGAAACAAAACAGCTAACTTCTACTCTGAATAACACATTTCAACACCAGCAACTAGCCATTAGCTCCGCTAGCTCAGCTAGCTTAGCTTAGCTAGCATTCATAAAGAATACACAGAACATAACAAACCGTACCAGTCGTTTTATGTCGTCATATCATAAAAGCCGCGAATACTTTTATATGTTCAGTGAGTCGCCATTCTTCGTTAACATTAACACCACTGTTTAACAACGTATGGCAACACACGGTCACTAAACCTGACACTTGATTTCCACAGTGCCGTCCAACGTCAGTCAGAGGAAAAACAAAGGTCACGTGATGCGTTGTCTACTCCGCTATTGGCCGCTATCACCTGCCCCTAAATGGTGGCTGTTGATTGGTTGAGGAAATTCTCCCCACTGGCTGTTTACTCAGAGCGATATGCTTTGTGTTTACTGCAGAGGAGAAGCATGTTTATTTCATTTTTCGTGTCTTTTTAAAAAAGTAAACTTTATTGAATAATTCAGATTTACAACAATAAGGCAAATCAACCAAATTATCAAAGTGAATGAGTAGTAAAAAAAAGAAAAAAAAGGATGTCAGCCAAAATAAATAAAGGATTAGATTAAATTTTTAGCATTAAAAAAATAAATAAATGTACAGATGATAGATAATTCGACATAAATAATACAAAACACAGCATTAGGACTGACATTAGTAATCTAGCCAGCTAAACTATTTGAATACAGAAAACGGGTATTACACAAATAGAAGGAAATATACTTTTCTAGAATATCTCCTGAACCAAAACAATTTTTATTCCCTAATGTATTTTTTTTCTTTTTTAAGCATTTTAGTTATTTAATTTAAGTGAGAGTAAGTAAGAGTAGGAGACTATAATTTTGAAAAATAAATTGTATAAAAATAAAAAAAGACACAAATTATAGATAATTAAACATAAATAATACATAACAACGTTATTTGGTCTTCATTTGAGAGTAAACCATGTTATTTTCAGGATCTGTTAATACGTACATTTCTACACAGTTGAGCAGTTCGTTTGCAAATTTAGAGTTCATACATCTATGTGTTTGCAGTACAACAAAAAATTATTATATGGTTTTAAAGAATTTCGCTTTGTGCATGTGGTATTTGGCCATAATGACAATGGTGTAAGTCAAAACATTTTTCTGTTTTCTGTGACTGTTTCTGCTTTACATTACATCCACATGTGAACTGAGAGAAGTCAGTATGTTCTTTCACCTGTTTACAAAATAGTTGGGAATGATGACAAGCTGAGACAATGTGTTCTGTGGTTAGGAGCAACTTGTTTGACCGGCGTACTCTGTAAACTGTTTAATATCACACTATTTATAGTATAATATTAATAGTAAGATTTAGTAAGTAGTAAGACTTATCTATCCAAAACATAGTTGCTGTGAACACTCACAACAACATCAGGGTCACTATCGGACATTTGAGGAGTGGAGTAGTACCTGCACTGACCGACAGAGGGCAGCCGTGAACTAACTCATAACGTCAACTTACCCCGACACATTGACAGCGTAGAAGAAGAAATAGAAACGATGCTGCTTCTAGGCAAGCCTCTCGATAACGCTCAGCTAAGCTAACATTTAAACACTGTCATGTTTAGCGTTGGATGAAGGGTTTATTAGGCAGAACTGCAATACACCAGCTAAGCAGCACTCGGGTCCCCCAGAAAGGTAAGTATGGGTTTAACAGACAGGGAAATACCTGGGCTGTGCTTGGTGTTAGCAACGTCAGCTAACGTTAGCAATGACGGTTGATATATGATGACATGGCGGTGAAACAGTCAAATATAACCTTGTAACTTATTAACAAATGATCTAACGTTACTGTAGCGGTAATATATCCAATAGGGGAGCATCATTTTTGTTATTTAGGTTATTAAAATGTAAATGTTACTGTTGTGTGCAGTGTTACATCACCAGCCCAAGCTAACGTTAACGTAAAGGGAGAACACAATCTCTGAATTGCAATATTAACCAGTTAACATATGTGTCATACAGCTAAAGATAATTTGTGTGTATTATATCTAGAGGTTAGTTGTTAACCTAAGTGGCTTGTTGTTCCCCAGATGTGTTAACACTAATTAACTATATTAAATTAAATACACTCCTTTGCCTTATTGCATCAAACTCCTTTTCACACTGTTAACCAACTGATCATTTTGTCTCTTCAGTGCAGGGGACATCAGAGCCATGGCAAGTGCACAGTCTGCTGTAACGTTTGCAGTGTGCGTCCTCATGATAACAGAGCTGATACTTGCCAAGAAGGACTACTACGATATACTGGGAGTGCCTAAAGATGCTACAGAGCGACAGATAAAAAAAGCTTTCCACAGACTTGCAATGAAATATCACCCGGATAAGAACAAGAGCCCGGACGCTGAAGTGAGATTCAGAGAGATTGCTGAAGGTACTGTTGAGTATTTCCTTCTCATTTGGGTGTGAAAAATGATTGTTTCCAGATATATTGGAATGATAATCTTACTTATGTAACATTTTGTCCAGCGTGGAGATTAAAGTATTGTTTAGCCTGTCTTGTTTTCAAGTCAAGAACCCTGGAGGTTCAATATGCTTGAGCCTGCCATATTTTACACTTGTCATTGGGGCTGCAACTCATGATTATTTTCATTGTCTACTAATCTGTCGATTATTTCTTCGATTAGTCAACTAATCATTTATCGAAAAATGTGTTAAAATGTTGAAAAATGGCGGTGTCTCTCTCCCAAACCCAAAAATTATGTCATCTAATGTCTTGTTTCATACTCACACCAAAGGGTTTTAGTTCACCGTCATGGGAGAGTGTGTAAAGCTACCAATATTTGAACGTAAGAAGCTGCAATAAGAGTATTTTGAGGTACTTTTACAGGACTTTTCTATGAAAAAAGACTTGAACCGATTAGTCAACTACTGAAATAGTCACCGCTTATTTTGATAGTCATCGATTAGTCGACTAATCGTTGCAGCCCTACTTGTCATGATCTCAGTTAAGCCTTTGTCACCACAGCCATACCTTTTTCTTTGTGCAGCTTATGAAACTTTATCAGATGAAACCAGAAGAAGAGAATACGACCATTTTGGTGACACCTCTGCATACTTCAATGGGGAGACGCAAGGCAGGCACAGACAGGGCGCCCACCAGCCTTTCACCTTCAACTTTGATGACATTTTCAAGGACTTTGACATTTACAGCCAGAACAGGCACGCCCGTCACCGAAGACACTTTGATGAACACTCCAGGTCCCACAAGGATTCCCACAGCAGACATAAGAGACACTTTCAAGGAGGTTTCGGAGCAGGTATCTTTGATGACATGTATGACGACATAGAGAGAATGTTTACCTTTGACAGACACGCCAAACAGACTGACAACCGGTTTCATGGTGCATCGAAACAACACTGTAGAACAGTGACACAGCGCAGAGGAAACATGGTAACCACGTACACAGACTGTACTGCATCTTAAGATGAAACGTAAAATGACGTATGACTCAAAATTGCCTTAACAGGATACAATACTGTTGTATTGATTTTGGTAATGGGAAGCCATTTGGTTCAAATGCTGTGAAACTTGAGCAGTGACATTAAGATCTGACATTCAGGCAACAGTGAAAACTCAGTTTACTTAGCTTAGATCATATATAAAATAAGCTATGTTTTGTTCAAGCTTTTCCCTGTGTGTACTCATGGACTTGATTGTAGTAGGTTTTCACTTATTGTTGAAATAAGCTGACTGAGTATTTTGTCAGTATTTTAAAGCACCTTTTTTGATAGGGGATTTGTTAGGTTGACTGTTGGGCAAAAATAAAGCAATCACACAAAGTTAGGCACAGAAATACTCACCTATCTGTTCATCACTAGCTTCCACTCTGTTACTATGTGTAGTTTGTAGTTTCTTTTGCGAGGTTTTCCCATTGTGGGTCTGAAAACACAACTAAAGGTGGAACAATAGCAGCCAGCTGAGTTTAGCTTATGTCAACAAAAAAGGAAAATGTGACTCTCCATGTGTTGGCTTGTTTAACTGGTGTTTGTACTACGTCTTGTTGAAATATTTACATACTTTACACTGCCAGTCACATTTTTTAATATCATATATTTTAGCATTTGTGGTTAAAATCTGCATCAGATGCAATTTTAACAATCTGTAAAGTAAAAAATATAAGTAGGAGATAGTTAGAAGTAAATGGAGTAATGTTTGAACTCTGTAGCCTTTCAATTAATACAATGAAGTGTGATGTCAGTAATGTTCTGTTGGTGGTGCTTGTGTACCTCACATTGGCAGAGGACATCAAGATTGAGGCCTTAAAACTCACCGTTTCTGAATTCTGAATCACACCTGTACTAATATTCTTTATTATGTAGCGTATTAGATTTAAATTTCCAACTACAGTCCTTAACATTTAACCAAAAATCCTAAAATATAGGTATTTAAAAAATGTGACTGGCATGGCAGACAAACTACAAAGACTGTTGTATGTGTGAACTAATTTGCAGAGGACCAATTGAACAATAAGCTGACTACAATATGTGCTGTAGGTTTCATAAGTTGAAATAGTCACAATGTTTGTTTTATTTTTTTAATGGAGGGTGTAAAATATTTTATTTTAAAAATGAACACCAAGTGTAACAATACTGCAGAACTGCAAGGTTAAAGAAATACTGTATGTATAAGTACATACAAGCATCAATGTTCATCTGATGAAACTCCCAGTTCATACTGTTTTCCTAACATATCATCCGTTA